TTTCCGAGGCAGTATCACTACGGAAGTAGGATTGCCCAACCTTCCTTCCGAGGAGTGGCTGGTGGGTTTGAACCGCCAGCCTTCTGGATAGCAGTTAGCCTAGTTAGTGGATCTGAATAGAGAATTCTGGGGATTGACACCAGGCCCTTGCATGTACAAAGCAAAAAACAGTAATGCAGGTGACTACCACTTGGTTGAGAGCAAAATTATTGGAGGAAGCTGAATTAAAGTCAAGATTTTTACATATTTTAAGATTTTAGTATTAAAATTAGAGAAGCAAGATTATATTTGTGTGTGCAGTTGTGTGTAACAGCAGGACAAAACTTCATGCGTTTTTATGTTCTAAACCGACACAAACCAAACCCACTGCCATCTAGTCGATTCTACTCTTAGCGACCCTGTAACGTAGAGTAGAACTGCGCCCTAAGTTTTCTGAGGCTGTAAATCTTTGTGGAAGCAAACCGCCTCATCTTTCTCCTGTGAAGTTGGGTCCAAACTGCCAACTTTTTGGTTAGGAGCCGAATGCTTTAATCTGTATGCCACCAGAGCGCATCCTTTTATGTTCCAGTACCTGGAAAATAAGAAAAAGGGAGATCATAGCTAAAGAGTGATAATAAGGAGCTCTAGTTGTATAGTAGATAAGGTATTTGGCTGCTAACCAGGTCAGTGGGTCAAACCCACCAGCCACTCCATGAAAGGAAGATGGGAGATCTACTTTCATAAAGATTTATAGCCTTGGAAGTCCAATGGGGGTCAGTCACTATGAGTCAGAATCAAGTCGATAGCAACGAGGTTTTTTTTTGTTTTTGTTTTTTTTTTTTTAAGGTAAAGAATGAGAGAGACATGAATAAACGGAGACCTGCTTCTTACGTTTTATAAACCTATGTAAAAGGAAACTGTTCTTATTTATGTATAAGTGGAAATTTCTTCTCTATCTCATACCCTGGATTTATATGCATGTGCCTTAGTTTGGTAATAATGTGGCATCTTTACACTAATGGCTTGCCTTTCTTAAGGTAGTCTCAACTCTGAGAGTTTCATTTGGATACCATTCTTCATGCTGTTGGATCATCTATTGTCTCTTCCTTGTAGTTTATTCATGCAGAATTATGTACATAAATTGGGAGAACATTGATTTTTCAAGTTTCACTAAATAAAATAAAATCTTCTACATGATTTAGTTAGTGTTTTCCTGGTCCCTGAAATGGTGCAAGGAATCTAACCATTGTGCATAGTCACCCGTGGCTACAGTGTATAGGACGTGATAGTCTCAATCTGTTCAGAAAGCATTATGTGAGTTTGGGTTAACCAGTTTTCCATTTTATGGAAGTGATTCCTGGTTGTCAGTAAGAATACAAATGCAGATTTCAGTGACTTTTCTGAACCACAGATACTTTGGTGTTGATTAACCATGTCTCACCTGTGTAGGACACCATTGCAGTGGCCGGATTTGTTGTTCTGTCAGCATCCTCATCTGCGAGCAGAGATGGTGAAAACTGCTTATGTTTGAAGGCATTTGAAGGCTTCAAATCAACTGTTTACGTAAGTGTGCACTGTTTAATCTCAGAGCGTACTGTGATTTTCATGAGCTAAAGCAATGGAATCGAAGTAGCATGTCTGCAAATCTGCAGATAAGCTGCTTGATCTGACTTTAAATAAAATTAAAATATTTTAATTATAAAAAACAGGAATTTTTTTTTGGCTTTGTGTTTAGAGTAAAGATATTTATTAGTGAAATTTGGCACAGACATGCTAGACCTTACCCTATTCTTTGTAATTACGCCATCAGCCTCTTTTGAAGGTCTACTTGATTTCACCTTAAGTTGATCTAGTGCTACTTTCTAGAAAAAAGTGATTTTCTCTAATTTGATTCTTTGTGAAAATGATTGCCACTTTCTTCTGTGTCCTCCTGCCAAGCACCCTTCACCACCCCACCCCCCAGCCACAACCCCCTGCCTCCCCACATACACATGCATTTAAAAACTACGCGTCTCGTCAGGGTTGTTGGGCCAAGCCATGTGTCTGTAGGCCAGCATCTGGTTATTTTTGTAATATCCACGAATGTACTGTATAAGCTCAGAGAAGCCATGTGTTTGTTACTGAAATTAATGAACTAGACTGAAGATTTGCATTGGAGTGCCCACTACTGCATTTACTTTTCTTTTTCTTTCTGAAAAAGTCCAGGAGTCTCTGCAAGAAAAATTTTGAGTATCAGCTCTGATTCTCCACTTCCTTTGAACTAATAGAAGTTTATTTTCTTTTAGTTGATTCTGAGAACTGTATATTGATATGCTCAAGAACATTTTTATTTGTCCTTATAGCTTTAATATTTTAAATGTCTGTACCTTAGAAGAAGGAGCCCTGGTGGCATAGTGGGTAAAGCAGTTGGTTGCTAACCAGAAGGTCTGTGGTTCAAATCCACCAGCTGCTCCACGGGAGGAAGATGAGGCAGTCTACTTCCATAAAGATTTACAGCCTCGGAAAACCAATGGGGCTTGTGATGAGCTGGAATTTACTTCATGGCAGTGGGTAGCTTAGAAAACCTTGTTTATGTCACCTTAATTTGTGAGGCATAACCTTAAGCCATTTAAATATTATACAGGTAAGTGTGTAGTTTCCCACAACTGAAAACCTATAATCACATTGAAGGTTGTTTGTATAAAATTAAGCCCTCCTTTTTTTTTTTTTTTTTTACTTCAGGTTTACGTTAAATCTGAAATAGATTTTTCTGCGGAATCCATGTCTTTGGTAAGGTTATATTCAACTTTAATATTTAGATAAATACACATGTTTGTGTGTGTGTGGGGGGGGTATATTTATGTATTTCATCTACTTGATAGTCTGATTTTGAAATAATGTCATTCTAGTGGAAAAACATAATCTCTACTTTGTTGATATCTGCCAATGTTACAGTTAAGTTATATTTTTACCTAGTAATGAATATATGATTATTCTGTTGTCTGGAATATCTGCTGATATTTTATGTCAAGTACATATGTAAGAAAAAGGAAATGAAAAAATGTTTTGTTTTAAACTGCAGGCTACTTCATATCTTTCATTTTTCATCAGCTTGTATTTAAACAGATTTTTATTTGCTAAATTGTGATTTGACAGATTATATACTTTTAAGTAAAGATGTTTATTATATTAGTGATACATTGTGTTTTTTCTTTAACATTTTTTTATTTTAACTGTTTTAAAAATTTTTGTTGTAGCAATAGAAAGGTTCCCATTTGTACATGTGGGCTACTTAGGATTGAGTGAAACTAGAAGGAAGATAATATATTGGAGGGAGCTCTGGTAGCATAGTGCCTAAGGCACTTGACTGCTAACCAGAAGGCTGGCAGTTCAAACCCACCAGCCACTCCTCGGAAGGAAAGTTGGGCAATCTACTTCCGTAATGATACTGCCTCAGAAACCTGAGGAGGGGTCGCTATGAGTTGGGGTCGATTCAATGGCACATAACAACACCACCACAATATATTGGAAGGTTTAATGTAATGTTTATGCCCTACTCATGTTAAATTTTTAGTTTCCAATTGTCAAACAGAGTACGAGGGCTTTCAGTTCCTAGTTATCAATGACTGGGCGACACAGATTTTAAATTCTGAGTAACAGTATAATTTAAGTTTATTATTTGGGGAAACAATATCCAATGAAAGGATTGATATTTAAAAGTGTAAATTATTTCTAAGTATTAGTGGCTTTTCAGTATTACTTGTCAGCTTCAAATATTTGATACATCTGTGAACCTGTTGATGAGGCAGAGGTAAACCAGAAGACCTTTAAACTTGGCAAAATGGTTTTTCACAAAGTCCGGGTATTCTAAACTATTAGAATCTCATTTTGCACAGCTTCACCTTTACAATTGAACATGGATCTTGCTCTGGTGGCTTAGTGGACATTTTGCTGCTAACCAGAAGGTCGGTGGTTCAAACCCACCAGCTGCTCCATGGGAGGAAGATGAGGGAGTCTACTGTAAAAATTATAGTCTTGGAAACCCAACAGGTTGCTATGAGTCGGAATCAATTTGATGGCAGTGGGTTTAGGTTTTCTGCATCTTGCAATATCAATAGAACTTCTAATTCTTGTTGTTGCAATTCTTGTGTTTTCCTGAAAAAAAAAAAATGTTACTAAGTTGAGGCTGATGTTTTTGTAAAAATGTATTATTAAATAATAAGCCTGTTTGAGGATTAGGAATGTTTTCAGAATTCAGGAAATGTGTTTTTTTGTTGCAGTAACTGCCTTGTAGAGTTCCTTAGGGTGATCAGTTAGCCTTGTGTCTCTGGGTTTAGAAACATTTAGCTAGTCCATTTGATCTTAGGCCAAATATGAATTTGATCTCAAGGCCAAATATGAATTAACCCCTGTCTTCTCTGGTTTAAAATCAGAAAAGGTATATGCCAGGTTGTGTCCTATCACCATACTTATTCAGTCTGTGTGTTGAGCATGTGATCTGACAGCCTGGACTATATGAAGAAGAATGTGGCATTAGGATTGGAGGAAGACTCATTAACAGCCTATTAAAATTGCAGGCATTTTAATAGTATAGTTTTTTACTTTTTTATTGAAGAAGTATGGTGTTCCATTGTTTGAATATAACCTAGATTATAGATTGAGTTTGCCTTTATGAGTTAGTGTTCAAATTGCACCATTTATAAACAAAGCTATTTCTAAGGTAAACTCTATCAAGTGTCAAATAGTTGATTTATGTTTTAAACTTTTAAGTTTTATGTTACTTGTCTCATAGTGCCTAAGGTGCTTGACTGCTAACCAGAAGCCTGGCGGTTCAAACCCACCAGCCACTCCTCAGAAGGAAGGTTGGGCAATCTACTTTCGCAGTGATAACCACCTCAGAAACCCAAGGAGGGGTCACTATGAGTCGGGTCTGTCTCGACGGCATATAACAACAACAACAAAATCTATTTTAGACTAGTAAAAGGATAAAATGCAGTTACATCAATTTACTGATTTAGAAATTTGATAATAACATGGTTCTATAATGTAAACATTTAATGTTAATGTGTTCACTTTCTTCTTTTTCTTTAGGTTCCAGCAAAACAGTACATATATACACCCCTGAATCAACTTAAGGATGGCACAGTTGTTAATGTCTATGGTGTCGTGAAGTTCTTCAAGCCACCATATCTAAGCAAAGGAACTGGTAGGTATTAAAACTGGTGGTGTTTTTATAGGTTTTGACAGCTTTATTGTTTCAGTAACACAGCTCCTTCAGTGTCATAAGTCTTAATTAGAAGCTAAATTCTGCCTTCCAGTTGACAAACAACGCTGCATTTTCTTTGGCACTTTTTATTTATAAAATAAAATATTCTTTAGATTCTCAAGTCTGTTTTTTTTTAGGCCTTTATTTCAGTTATAATATATATACTTGGCTAGTTTTTGAAGTAAATTGAAAAGGTATATCACATTAATTGTTAAATGATAATATAAACTTTTTAACAGATAAACATATGAAAGAATACATCAGAACAACATGAGTTTCAGTTTACTAAGTTAATAAGATGAGTAGATGGCAGACTTTTACCTCAGTTTAAGTCAAGTAAATTTAATAAGTATTTACAATTGTAACTCATCTAAAATATCATCATGGGTAAGATGTACCATTATTTTGTGTATCATTATGAACAAAAGAATACTGCCAATTAAATTTATTTCATTGTCAGTTGTAAGATATAGTCATATTTCAGAATTGTTAAACATGTGACTCAGTGGATGTTGTTGATGAAAGACTTTGCATGCCCAGAGCTGTGATTATTGCTCGGAAGAGAAAGAAGTTGTCATTGAGTTCATATTATAAAAACATTTTATTTATGAAGATATATTTATGCATATATAAAGATGCATATCATTATAAAGATATATACATAGTTTATTTGTGTGTGTGTGTTTTTTTTTAGTGCATAGTTTATTTGCTATAAGTGTGTTTTTTATCGGAGTTGAGAGGGAAAAATGTCATTTTCAGGTGGACAGAATATTTGTACATAACATAATGACTTGGTCTGTGTGAAAGTACATGTTAAGTATCAAATCTGAAAAGAAGAAGTTTGAAATAGATGATAATTGAGTCTAAAGATTGTCAAGGAATGTTTTATGGAAAATACTGATTGTCTTTTATTAGGATGAAGCGAAACAAGTTTGAATCAGAGTTTTTGTTTAAATACATAGTTGTCAGATATTTTCATTCCATCTTTCCTTTTTCCCATAAGCCTGCCTTCCCAACCCTGTCATATACATTGACATACACTCACTTTCTTTTTTTTTTTTAATCTTTTATTTTATTTTTTTATTGTGATTTGGGTGCAGATTTACAGAGCAAATTCACTTTCCATACAGCAGTTCACATACACTTTGTCTCATGACATTGACCACAGTTTACCACAATGTGACAGCTCCCCTCCCTCTTCCTCCCCATA